AGTCAGTGTTATTCCAAAATAACGCTACGACGACGACGATGAAGACGACCTACAAATGCTCCTAAAATATGATTTCGCTTATGAATAAAATAAAGGGCATTACCATTGTATTGTAATAGTTATATTCAGTCTCTAACTTTTATGTCCATTCTTGAATATTGATAATTCCATTATTAATTCAACTGCAAAGCTATATAAAATCATTGTCAATGCATTTAAAGTCAACTTTGATGTTAAAAAATGTAAGCTCAATGTCAATCGTTATCTTCTGTCTTAATTCTTCTTCCTTTATTGCTCGCTCTCCTTAATAGTATTTTTTCATATTCTCTAACAATTACTAACCCCTTGCGTCTTAGTGGCTTTATTGTCTTACATGGGGTGAAATAATTAAAAGAATTATTGGAACACCTTGTTAGAGCAATTACGACTGAATAGTGAGTTCGATTTTAATTAAGTCCTCCATACTTTTAAGCCTTACGCCATATCTAAGCCACGCTTATTAAATTGCTATAATATACTTATTGTGTCTGTAATGATTGCATTAATGTATGTCATCTGAAAATGCCTTTATTACTGATTTCAGTTCATTCCTATAGTAAATTCATATTTACATAAAGCATACAAGAACCCTGTCCTTTCTACAGGAATTACATTTTGTCTTGATCCAGAAGAACCCCTTTTTTTATTTTCAATGGGTTTCTGTAGAAAAATAACGTTCTATATATTTATGTAATGCATTTAAAATCCTTATCCTTACTATAATAATAGTAGATAGATTGTCCTATCGTCTGGTTCACACTTTTCCCTGGTTTTTGAAAAGGAGTAGAGATTTATCGCTTGCTTATTTCATTTTTAGGATAAGGTTTTCTGTTCCTTCTAAATTCTTCTCATTCTAATTGATTCCTAGTCTCCCCTTGTATCGTAGTGATATCATGGCTTTGCCTGGAGTGAATTGATTAAAAAAAACTGTTCCAGACACCTGCAATTTCTTTCAGTACTTTCATTGGATTTCTATAAATTCCATTCTTCATTGAGTCACGAACTTATTTAGTCATGGACACATTGAGTCACAGGTCCCTTTAGTCAGAGACCCATTGGGTCACGGGCACCTTTAGTAATGGGCACATTGAGTCACGGACCTCTTTAGTCATGGACCCATTGAGTCACAGACCCCATTAGTCATGGACCCATTGAGTCACGGCCCCCCTTAGTAACGGGTACATTGAGTCACGGACCCATTAAGTCACGGACACATTGAGTCATGGACCCCATTAGTCATGGACCCATTGAGTCACAGGTCCCCTTAGTAACGGGTACATTGAGTCACGGACCCATTAAGTCACGGACACATTGAGTCACGGACTCCATTAGTGATGGACCCATTGAGTCACGAGTGGCTTTAGTCATGGACCCATTGAGTCACAGGCCCCTATAGTAATGGGCCCTTTGAGTCAGGGACCTCATTAGTCATGGGCACATTGATTCACTGGCCCCTTTAGTCATGGACCCATTGAGTCACGGGCCCCTTTAATCATGGACACATTGAGTTATGGGCCCGTTTAGTCATGGACCCATTGTGTCAGGGGCCCCTTTAGTAATGAGCACATTGAGTCACGGACCACATTAGTCATGGACCCATTAAGTCACGGACCCTTTTAGTCACGCACCCCTTGAGTTACGGAACCCTATAAGAACTAGTCCTTCATAGCCAGACAGACATGCAGATACTCAGTCTCGTTGTTTTTGCTCAACTTGCATTTCTTCATACTGCACCCTCATGCACACTGCGCACGCAGATCACTTTTCAGCTAGCCATTCTTGAAAGAAATTGTGGTCAATTAATCCTCACCAATATATGAGAAGATAATCAAGCCGTGATAAACCGTGGAAACTGAGAATTACATTTGCTCTTATGGAGTAATAAAAGATGGCGGTCATGCAGAGAATGACGACATACGTTTAAATGGTAAGCATAGACTCAAGAGCAATTGAAGAGCCGCCTAGCGGTCGGCACTGGAAGTACTGACTGGGTGTGTTTTCTTTCAAACAGTGCCACGATTCATTTTCCTTTATTTCATTCAATTGGAAACCGTTGATTGGGACAAGGGTTGTATAGCGAATATAAATGTTCATTTTTTTTCTGATCCTCCTGATCCCCCTGAAACCAATCTATGGATCGCTTAGGATGTCATCAATCCTAGGTTAAGGAGCCCTGCTTCATATATAAGAGGTCTAACCTTACTATAATAATTGCATTCATTTCAAACACCTGAAAATCCATTTATTTTCAAATCAATTCTATAGTAAAATATAGAGTAAAATATCAATTCTATAGTAAAATCATGAGACATTTATCTTTATTATGCATAAAATATCTACCTTTTCTCTGTAATAATTGCATCAATTCCTGACCCTTGACAACCCCTTTAAGATGCTCAAGGCATCTTAAATAAAATGATTAATAATGAACTTTCATCAGGCGTCCTATTCTTTTTCGGGCTTACGACCACATCGCGTTGAAACACCGGTTCCCGTACGATCACCGAAGTTAAGCAACAACGAGCCTGGTCAGTACCTAGATGGGTGACCATTTGGGAATATCAGGTGCTGTAAGCTTGGATGTGCGGGTGGTGTAATAGATAATGTCTCAGAATTTTTAATCGGAGAGACGAGTTTGCGTTCACTATATTCGCTTACGCGCAAATACATTTGGGAAATGTATGAAGCCACCTCTTCCCCCCAGATATGGATTAATTAGTAAGGATTGTATCACTAAGCCAAAGTTCGTGAGGAGAAATCTCGACTTCAGTTGCTTTCCCACCGCCGTAATGTAGCTTTCATGTGCCTTTCTCTATAAAGATTTTCACGGTAATTGTTTGGATTAACCTTTCTCTGTAGTACCTTGACTTCTCGACATTAAACGAAGTAATAGATTGGCAGTTAGGTCTCACAATTCCACGATTGAAATGGCCATATTTAATCATAAGTTCTATTCTAACAATGTATTCGTCGCCTCCCTCTGTCTTTTCTACAAATACTTTCGACGAGCTACTTTCGCTAGTTCCCCGACATGAATTTAAGCGTGCTACTAGGTTGGTATCAGGATCCCACCCTTTCACTGTTGAAACGGTGAAATGTAGCCGCCTCTTCTACTCCAATAGCTTCATGTCTCGCACTTCCTATCTGTGGAAATCCCTCTCTATTACTTGTTTCCAACTATTCAAATGTAATGTCAATCGACATCTTCAGATGCCTTGATTTATTCCCTATCCTTCTCTTCATCCTTTCCTCTATCACGTCTCTTTACTCTCGCTCCAACTCTCTGTAACCCCTTTCTGCCGCCAACGACGCGACTGAATTCCAAATTTCACTGTCGATAACTCCAAAACGATAGATTTTATTACCGTTATCAAGCCAAATTCGAATGAAGCATATAGAATTGTACATAAGTGCAAGTATTGTTGGACATTTTTAATGCGAATTGAGTGCGGGTGTTACACTGTAAATTAACTGATTATTCTTAAGGCAATACCATTAAAATTTTTGTATCGTTTTTGCTATGTGAGGTCGTAAAAAATCTAATAATTCTCAATTGGATCCGACGCTTAAGCTTGATTTCCATTTAAGTAAGTCGATATTTACCTACATATGTACACCATGTCTCCGGTTTAATAACTCGTTATTGCGAATGGACTGCTATAAAGAATATTATATTAAATATTTGAGTTAAATACAATGTTTCGTAATGGCGAACACACGCATGATTTTGTCACGCTCCTGAAAATATTGCGCGGTTTCAACGGTTTGTTGACTCCTGTCATTCATATTTCAAAAAATGTTTGAAATCGCATGCGCCCTGAAATAAAATCTTTTTTTTTTATTTTTTAGATTTCATTTTCCACAACATTTTCATATTATATTTAGAGTAATATCCTTCTGTTTCCCGACCTTTGGTATAGAAAGCGGGTAGCTTTACATTTTCAGAAGAAATATAATGACAAACCCCATTGTGTCCAAGATTAAATGCTGACATATGGAAAGTTCTTGGTTTTTTCATATGTGTTTGCATTTTTTTAAGAATTATCATGGGATGAATTAACACTTTCATTGCTGCATTGTTATAGTATTGTTGCCTAGCTCTACTCACCCGTTTTCAGAAAAATGGGAAACTGCCATTTACTAGAAATAAATAATTATAAAGAAACAGACGGAAATTTCTGATGAACGCTGCCATTTTGATTTCACTGACGGCGATTTCTAATAATCACCGCAATTTTGGCTTTACTGAGGACGATTTCTCATGCTCGTCGCCATTTTGGTTTCGCTGACGTCAAATTCTAATGATCGCCGCCGTTTTAGTTTCGGTGACGGAGATTTTTCATGATCGCGACCATTTTGGTTTCGTTGACGACGATTTCTGATGAATTACGCTATTTTGGTTTCGCTGACGACGATTTCTCATGCTCATCGCCATTTTGGTTTCGCTGACATCAAATTCTAATGATCGCCGCCATTTTAGTTTCGATGACGGAGAATTTTCATGATCACCACCATTTTAGTTTCTCAGTGGAAAAAAAAACTGGCTAGCTGAATTCAATGCATCGAAAATGAAACTAGTTACATTATATTAACGGCGATCGGGCCCTAAACTATCACCAATCATGATGAACAGATGTCCTCTCGGGGAAGTAACTCCCTATTTTATGTATGATGGACTCTCCGGTCTTGTAAAATTAGAGTCCATAATGCATAAAATAGGGGGTTACTTTTCAATCACCCTGTAGTAGCGTACAATACGACCTGTTTTTTGGGGTATTTTTTAAAATTATACTGCGTGTTGGGGAGTGCCGTTGAGAATTGTCAGCATGATAGTCTCCGAACGAAACCAAAATGGCCGCGCCCATGGGAAATCGCCGCCAGCGTCTAAAATCTAAATGCTCAGAAAAGAGACGAACTTTTTTTACTGATTCATATTCAAATTATTTTATAAAAGAATAAATGACGGGCATTCTTTTGCAGATTCATGGGAAGAGAGTCCTCAACGATTGACTTGAACTAAAACGATAATGATAATCAGCTATCTGTCTCTGTTGTGTCTGTAAAAGTCAATATATCCTATTTTTCCCCTAAACAGGCCAGCACAGCCAGGTAATAATGCTACAACAATGCAGATAGGTAAAGTGTTGATAACACAGGTCATTACTAATTTAGTGAATATGATCGCATCCTGGTGCAGCGTATTAGTAACCTTGAGTTAAATTACTATATTTAGTAAATACTCATGTCGAGATGTCTGCAGGGGCGTTGTACGCTAATGGATATATCAGCCATTTCTTTTTAAGGGAACATTTGGTATTCACTGACAGAGTAGTCAGTACTGTTTTAGGTTTAAATTTTCTCTTAAAACAATTTTTTTAGGAAATCAGGTTCCTCAAGTCCAGTAGCTTTTATCGCTCTTTCCAGTATTGATGGGGGTTTTCTTACCGAACTGTATTAGCCGTTAAACAATTCTATCTTCCCTTCTTTCTTTCTTTCTTTTTTTCTTTCTGTCTTTCTTTCTTTCTTAACTGTTATGTATGATTAGTAGTTAGGATAATACATTTCGCTATTACAAATGTTTTCCTCAAAAACGGAAATTAATTATGACTCATCTTAGTAGAATCTGCATTTTCATGTTATGATGTTTAGTAATCATAAAAGTGTTGGTTGTCTTTGCATCGTTAGATGTGATGACAGCAGTATAAAAAAAAAGTAAGTCTTATTAACTTCTCTTTATTCTGTTTTAATGAGAGCCGCCTATCGGCCGTCGCTTCTTTTACGTTCAGTGGATTGGGGTGCAAACGAGTACGTACCGCCTGATACGGGTACATATACCAATTCCTGGCAGCTGTCTGCAGTCCACTCGAAAGACATTGAAAGGTCAACGCGTTGCGAAAGCGAACGCTCTTCAAAAGAGACCGGAACTATGCAACACCGGTGAAATTGGCGCCACTTTTTAAAAAAAACAAAAAAAACAGTCAAACATCACTTGAAAATGGTATTTACGAAAATTAACAGGCCGTGCTGCGTATATATTGTAATTTACTCAGCTTATCTTAGTTTGACACAAGGCTGCCAATATGGAGCACCCAGTGGGGTAGAATTTACAATTTTAATGGTCTTTGGGGAGGCTTTACTTGGGGAATACCAAAAGCAGTGACAACTAAAATGGATAAAACATGTAACTAAAAGAGAAAATATTGACAAAATCAAGATGTCGATATTCTATACAATTTCAAATAAAATGTTAGGAAGAAACATTCCACATCAATTCTGGAAAGAACGATAACAGCTACTGGACGTAAAAAGCCAGTTTTCTTGACAAATGATTTTAAGAGAAAGATTTTATAAATTTCAAACGCCGGTGGCAGAGGCTACTCGGTCAATACATACCAAATGTTCCTTATAAGGAAACGGCTGTTATTACTATTATCATCTTAATTCACCAAGACAAAATATGTACCTAAAAAAGCATGAGAACCATGTCTAGTAGAGCATCTAGATATTTCTTCTTCTTCTTCTTCTTCTTATTATTATTATTATTATTATTATTATTATTATTATTATGTTGTTGTTGTTGTTATTCTGTTTGTCTCTATAAATAATTATTGCTCTACTTTTGGTATTGAGCCATTTTTTAAATTAATGTTATGAATGTTTGAATTTATATTCTTTTCGTTCTCATTACATTTATATATATATATACATAGAAACATATATATATACATACATATACACATACATACATATATATATATATATATATATATATATATATATATATATATATATATATATGCATACATACAAACATACAGTGACTATTACGGCTAAAATGCAAGACTCTTCGGTAAATCGAATTGAGATCTCTCAGTCACTAAGTGTTTATCTAAAAATAAATACGCTTAAATTCACCTTCATCTCTGCCGTGTGGCAGCGACTTAGTGGTAGAATCCCCCGAATGAAATGCTGTCAGTCGGGGTTCGACTTTAGCTAGAGGCAACCGGACGTCTAGCCACACTGATGAGTTGTCTGTGGATGACTATATATATATATATATATATATATATATATATATATATATATATATATATTATACAATAGGAATTAAAATTTAAGATTACATTAGGTTAATGATCATTTTCAACTTGTAAACTGAAATAAAATTTACAAGGACTTTTCAAACCAGACGATGGATGATAAATTATTGAAATAAAAATGTTATTGAAATAATTCATATTCCATTGACTGGTTTGAACAATTAAGGTGATAATCATTAATATAATCTTAATTCCTATTGTATGAAATATGTTGCTTTGTTTAATTAAATATTGAAGACTATGTTTGAATCAGTTTTAATATTTTATATTTTATATTGTATTAATAGGATTCACTTGGATTTTTTTATATATATATATATATATATATATATATATATATATATATATATATATTTAGGCAGCATATCTTTATTCAAACATGTTTCATTGAATAATAGAAAGATATTGTGTTTAATCTTATACTGATCGTTTCTAGTTGTCTAATAAGTCTATACTAAAATCAACCAAGCAACAC